AGAGAGAACGAGAGAGGAGCAATGAAGAGAGAGAACAAGAGAGGAGCGATGAAAAGAGGGAACGAGAGAGGAGCGATAAAAAGAGAAAACGAGAAAAGAGCAATGAAGAGAGAGAACGAGAGAGGAGCGATGAAGAGAGAGAACGAGAGAGGAGCTATGAAAATAGAGAACGAGAAAGAAGCAATGAAGAGAGAGAACGAGAGAGGAGCGATGAAGAGAGAGAACGAGAGAAGAGCGATGAAAAGAGAGAGAGAGAGAGGGGAGTGATGAAAAGAGAGAATGTGAGAAGAGCGATGAAGAGAGAGAACGAGAGAGGAGCGCTGAATAGAGAGAACGAAAGAGGAGCGATGAAGAGTGAGAACGAGAGAGGAGCAATAAATAGAGAGAACGAGATAGTACGAGAGAGGGACGTTGAAGAGAAAGAATGAGAGTGGAGCGATGAAGAGAGAGAACGAGAGAGGAGCGATGAAGAGAGAGAACGAGAAAGGAGCGACGAAGAGAGAGAATGAGACAGGAGCGATAAAAAATGAGAACGAGAGAGGAGTGATGAAGAGAGAGAACGAGAGAGGAGCGATGAAGAGAAAGAACGAGAGAGGAGCGATGAAGAGAGAGAACGAGAGAAGAGCGATGAAACGAAAGAACGAGAGAAGAGCGATAAAGAGAAAGAACGAGAGAGGAGCGATGAAGAGAAAGAAAGAGAGAGTAGCAATGAAGTGAGAGAACGAGAGAGCAGCGATAAAGAGAGAGAATCAAGGAAAAGGTGTAAAAATATAGGAATGAGAGAGAGAAAGAGAGAGAAAGAGAATCGAGAAAAGAGAAAGAGAGAGAGAACGACAGAGAGAGAGAGAGAGAGAGAAAAAGAGAAGCGATAAAGAGAGAGAACGAGAGAGGAGCGATGAAAAGAGAGAGAACGAGAGAGGAGTGATAAAGAGAGAGAACGAGAGAGGAGCGTCGAAGAGAGAAAATGAGAGAGGAGCGATGAAGAGAGAGAACGAGAAATAAGCGATATAGTGAGAGAAT